TCTGGCTGGATTTACACATCACTATAAGCAGCCCTGCGTAGTTTCCATGGTGTGCAGTCTTTTGCCTCACTGTGCCTGACAGCTGATTAAATGGTTTCTACGAATTCAGTCTCACAGTGGAGGACTCTTGCAGCAGCTGCCACTCTTTCAGAGGACTCTTTGGTAGCTGTGTACCAGGACCGTGGAAACCATGAAGCTATATTTAGACAATAAGAGAACCATGGTGAAACATGGAAACCATTGAACAGACTGTTGTGTCTTATTACGGTTTTGAAAAACCAAATAGACCATGACAGGGCTTGAAATACATGATAGACCATCCTGTATAAAAACCCCTGTGACTTATTCTGTCATGCAAACTCGCCCAGTGACAAGCTCAATTTTGACAAATCACACCATGGCTTAGTATTAAGTGTGAACCAGGCCAGTGGAGAGGCCATTGAAGTAAAGGTCAAAGTTCTTGCATTGTTTTGTAGAGGGAGGTGTATATGCGCAATTAAAATTCATTAAAACAGTAATATTCCACTGCAATAAAGCACAATAATAACAGAATTTTCACAATTAAAAAGCACCTAACCTAGCAGATCTATTAACAGGCAAAAGGCCTTCTTGAATAAAGCAGTATTTGCGTTCGGGTGAAATGACAGCAGAGAGGGAAGAAACCTAGCCTCTTAACCCTAACCTCATCTGGTACAGCTTAAATCCCCATTCCCTGATCTGCCATTTGACTGACTAGGAGCAGCTCTGACGCTTTTGAGTTAAGCTTCAATTTATTTGTCCTCATCCAGTCCATCACTAACATCAGGTCCTGATTTAGAATCAGAACAAATGCCATACATTTAGAGGGAAAATAGAGCTAGAGTTGCTGTGAACCTTCCCACCAGTTTCATGCATAGTTAAATACCATGGAAGATAGGATGGAACCCTGAGGGCCACTGCAATGGCGGCCACTACAGTGGCCATGGGATCAAACATGAAGCCCACAGCACCATCCCTCCAAGAAGGACCAGAGCTACCTCTGTTTTTCCATCTCAGGCAGGTGCCTCAGAATGGCACCATGATTGCTGGTATCAAACGCTTCCGAAAGGTCTGACAGAACCTACAAGGACATGCTCTGTCTGTTGAGATCCTGGAACTGATCATCCACCAAGCAACCAAAGCAGCCTCTTTCCCATATAGCTGAAGACAAATTGAAATGGATCTGGATAATCCTTCTACTCCAGAAATCCCAGAGCTAAGAAGGCACCACGCACCCTAGCACCTTGTCCAAGACTGGAATATTGGAGATCATAACCATGTTCAGACCCACCTGTATAGATAACCTGTTTGTTCAGATCCCATGTGAATACACCCGAAGACACACAGGTTCTGGTACATACTGTTCATAATGTTATAGACCCAATGTTAATTTTACTTACAGTAGACCCATTTAAGTGAATAGGATTTCAGTTAGAATAATGTTTGGTACAAGCTATATCCTGAAAAATTGAGTGATATAGATGTAACCTAAGCAGGAAAGAGACAACTGATCCTGTAGGGGTAGGGTTACAGTGGGGTAGGGTTACAGTTAGATCTGGTTTATACCATCTGATTTAAAATCAATTGACAGTGTTCAGTGCTGCCCGTGCATTAGCAGCACCCACTGCTCACACAACAGGACGCTAATGGATCCTTAAGCAGGTGGAAGTGAGCCAAAATATGCATTTCTTGAACAGGCAGGTAATTTCCACATATTAAACTACATCTGTGGTATAATGTAAGAGGTATAGTGCAAGTTGGGATTTTTCTTCCCGCTGTCACAGACATAATTCTTGGCCAGTTTATGTAACGGCTCCTAATCGGTGCATATATATTAAACAACTCTCTCAAATTACTAGATGCAAATTGGGACTGGTCCTATGTGGCTTTAAGAGAGTAGTATAAAAATGAAATAAAATAAGGATTCTGTAGCAGAGAGCAAGTTCTTAGGTGCAACTGTACTTTCCCCTTCATGACAAGCTATACCTCCAGCAATCCCCTCTTCTGCGTAGCTGGCAAGTAGACCAAAGCCCTGCCTTCTCCTGTGTGTGGCCGTCCTGCGCTGCAGAGCTGGATGCCTGCAGAAAAGTGGCCCACTTATGCACGGGCTGCGTGGACCCTTGGCATGTGGCGAGCTGCTTTGCGTGAGCCACAGGATGTGAACTGGTTGCCCTCGTGCAAGGAGACCAGCTGCAAGCTCGGACCATCGTAAGCTTCCACAGCAGCATCTGCCCATTCGATAGATCAAGGTCTGTCCATTTCTTTTACTGAGTAGGCGAGATATCCTTCCTGTTTCCCAGGACTTGAGGACACAGGCATCTGCATGACTTCCTTCTAGGCTGAGCTGACGTAGCATGTAGAATCAGCAGGCTCCAACTCGTTTCTGAATGCGCCCTGACTCTTTAACCTTGTCAAAGTCACACCACGAGCTGGACTTGCTGGCTGGGAAGGAGCTCCGTGTGAGGGAATGTGTGTGCGCGCAGGCACTTGCCTCTTCTCACAGCACAAGCCCGGGGAGGAGAATCTGTGACCCTCCAACGGTTGTTGGTCTGTGACTCTCATCCTCCCTTTCCGTTGGTCGTGCTGGCTGGGGCCACTGGGAGTTGGGGCCACTGGTTCCCCACTTCTGCCTTCGGCACAGTAGTTTGCTCAGCATATGGGTGGGCAAAGGTCTTCAGGGGAGTGGAGCTTTCTTTCAGTCTCAAAGGGGCAGATCAGACTTGTTGGCAACTGAAGGGTGCTTCTCTTGGTGCCGGCGCTTTCCAAATCTGTAGATGGATCCTTGCTATATATTTCAGTGGTAAAGTTGGAGAGAGGTTAATAGCAACATCATGTTGCCAAACATGATGGGAGAAATATTTTCCCACATTAAACTAATTATAGTAAATGTGTGAGCCAAGCACCTATGTTCACAATGCGGGTGTGTAGTTGTCCGCCAGGGATACATGACTGCTTGGATATTTTTCCCAGATAGAGACTAAGTATATTTAATAGTACATAAAACTCAGTGGCTTGCAGATGCAGCCTGTGTGTGTGTGGAGAGAGGAAGAGCAACTGTTGAATTTCTGTCATGTAGAAGTTAAAAGCAAAGTTTCAATAAGCAATACCATAACTGCATTACTTGCTGCTTCAGTGTTAATGCTGGTTGTGATTTTGTGATTGATAGCACGCATTTCCTTGTTCATTAAAAAGTTCTAATTACGGGAATCCCCAAACACTGGTATAAGTACTGCCAACCCACGCATGAAATGAAATGGGAGAAGCCTGTTCCAGTCAGCCCTGAAGTTAAATTTCAGGCATTTTATTCCAAAAGAAAATGAAATGATAGCCAGTTTCATGTCTGGAATGGAAAAGTTATGTTTAGCAGCAACAGCCAGATGTGAGTGACGGTATCTTAATCCTTCATTTTGTTTATCATGATGAAACATTCCCGCAAAGAAGCCAATACATGTAGAAGCATCAGGGCTGTAAACTGAGGCTACACAACTATAGTTCCACTTAAAGAAAAGGTAGAATATTTCTGAAGTTCAGATCTTGAAAAAGTGCCTGAAAAAACAAGTCTTCTTTACTATAGTAAAGTCTTCTTATAATGTCTTCTTTACTATAGAAGGATGCCATATAACTGGCAGGTATCTGTTCACTGATTTTAATTTTACACAGGAAGGAACAGCATCTGATCGAGATCTCCCAGGATATCCAGAGGAAATATAGGCACCTATAATTAAACCAAAGAGCATGTAAAAATCCACTCTTTTCACTGCAGAATGTAAATGAAAGGGCATTCACCTGTCTTTATGCAAAAATGTTTTCAGGATTATGGCTCAATCCAGTGTTGTTCAAGAGGGCTTCCACCTGCGCAGTGAGGCTTCCTTTTGCTTTTCTCCATCCTGCAGCCCTCTTTGTACCCTCAGAGCTACTTCAGACGGTGCCTCCAGCCCTTTGCTCTTCTACTGGGCAAAAACAAGATTTCTCCAGTGGTTTGCATTCCACTTGCAGATGGCCCGTGTCAGAGATATCCACAATGGATTCAAACACATTCAGATGCCTAAGAATTTGGTCTGCAGTATCTGAAGTGGCCTGGCTTTTCCTGAGTCACATGGATCCCATGGTCTGGTCCACCAGTTTATTGCTTTCTCAAATTTTATGCAACTTCAGTGCTAGAAAAATAGGAATTATTTTTAAAAAATGACAATTTTGTCCTTTGGTTAAATTGTGAAAATACAGATTTTGGTGGGGTTTCACATTTTCAGAAGTGTGAATGTTCACTAGTGAGAATGAACACAAGTTTAGGGAATTTTAAAAAAATGTAAGTGAGTGGGTGAAGTGAAGTTAAAACAAAACTAGTCATAAAACAGCATCAAGGAGAGGGAGTGGTCGGTTGTTTATTTTCTATTCCACCCAACAGCTGAAGCTCTCTGACTTGCCATAAAGGAAAGAATGACTCTTGGTTGAAAGCAAGACCAGGATATGGGAACACATATTACGTTGCTAAAGTAAACCATATTTTACCCATGATGGCCCCATAATATTTACTCACAGTTTTCCTTCTTCGACTTGGTTAAGTACTGCATCTGAATGCCTAAATCACAGCTAAGGATTGGTTGCAAATAAAAATATGAAACTAGGTCTTCAAACTGGACAGCAAGCCATGATTTGTATTGTTACATTTGCATTGAGCAAACTATGGTTAAAGCCACTGGAGAGCTAGTGCCAAATGTTGCATTGGGAATCCAGGAGTTCTGGGTTCTAGTCCCCACTTACCCAACTAGCTCACTGCTGACTTTGGGTCAGTCATTTGCTTTCAGCCCAACCCGCCTCACAGGATTGTTGTTGTGAGGATAAAATTGAGCTATGTAAGCTGCTTTGAGTTCCTCACAAAAGGAAAAAGCAGATACAAGTCCAGTAAAGTGGTGGTGGTGGTGGTGATGCAGTTGTCCAGTTCCCAGCCTCTCTGACGGTAGGATAACAAGCAGATCTAAGTGATGTATCCCTACAAAGACTTTGCTGGGATGAGGCCACGTAAGTCAACAAGACAAACCATTGGCCTTCGGCAAGAGAGTTATAACCTACAATGTGTCTACTGCTCCACAGGAGAGACGGAAACTCCAGCTTGTTTCTTTAGGATAATGAGAGAGAGAAAGAGACTGTGGTTGGAAGAATATGGCAAAAAACTGGGTCCCATGTTTCAGCTTGGTATAAGATCTCAAAAGCTTGATGACTGTGGAGTTCAACACATGGTTTTTGCTAGGTCATATTAATCATAGCACTTTTTATATCGGCTTTCCCCTCCTGAGCATGCCTCTCTGCATTATGTGGGAGCATAACATAGACTGTACATGCAGAAAAGAACCTGTGTTCGTACAACACACACCTTAGAAGGCCCTTACCTACTTTCACGGAGTGTGCAGAGGCCCAGTGAGCAGGCACAGTTCCCTCCATATGGTCAGTATTGACATAGTGGAAATGAGTGAACAGGGCTTGTGTGTGTGCCAAGGCGAAGGCAGCCAGAAATCAGAATGAAGGCCTGTAAGCAGCCGCTGATGCACAAACATAAACTGAGGAACAGAAGCCACATGAAAGAACAGCCTGCGAAAGAGGCTTTCCATGAAGTTTGTCGGACGCTGTTACTGAGCTCCAAATGGTAGGCAAAAGGGAAAATAAGCTATTTCAAGGAGTCAGTGAGATTTCGCTTCTGTTTTTAACGTATAGATCATAAATGGTTAACACGTGGCTTAGGCAGCATTTATCTTTTTTCTACCTGGCCTTACTGTGTTGCCCTCTGACCATTCTCCTTCTCTCCCAATTAGGACCAGCAATGGACAACGATACACGGAGGCTTGTCGTGAGCTTTACGCTTTGCCTCATGTCCTTTCTGGCTTGTGAGGGAAGTCCACAGAAAGGCAATGCTTCCCAGCTGCACTTCACCTATCCTCTCTATAACACCACAATCTATGAAAATTCACCTCCCAAAACCTATGTGGAGAGCTACGTCAAAATGGGCATTTATATCACAGACCCAGCATGGGACGTCAAATACAGAATTGCTTCTGGAGACACCAGTGGCCTGTTCAAAGCTGAGGAGTATATTGTTGGAGATTTCTGCTTTTTGAGGATTAGAACTAGAAGTGGTAATACAGATCGACTGAACAGGGAGTTCAGAGACAAGTACATGCTAATAATCCAAGCCATGGAGAAGACCTTTTCCTACGAGGCTTGGACCAAAGTACTGATCCACATCCTTGACAGAAATGACTTGAAGCCTCTGTTCTCGCCCCCTTCTTATAAAGTGACCGTTCAAGAAGACACGCCCCCTAAAACCGTGATTGGTGTGGTCAGTGCCACAGATGCAGACATTGGCCAGAATTCAGGGTTCTATTACGCATTAAACACACGGTCACCGTTGTTTACAATTCACCCCACCAGTGGGGTAGTGATGAATGCTGTGAGACTGAATGCCACCCACAGAGGGGAGCACCGCTTGAAAGTCTTGGCTGTGGACAGAATGAGGAAGATCTCTGAAGGAAATGGCTTTGGCAACCTGGCCAGTCTCACAGTCCAAGTGGAACCCTCTCTCAGGAAGCCCCCTGTGATTTCTTCGGTGGCAGTGAGGTCGTTAGCGTCTTCTGAGGATCTCCTCTATGCTACCCTGCGTGTGGAAGAAGACGGCTCAGGAGCTGGGGTCGAGTCAGTTGACATTGTGGGTGGAGACCCAAGAAAGCATTTCAAATTGATCAGATCATATGTAGGAAGTAATGAGTTCCTGATAGTGTCAGCCAAAGAGATCAATTGGAACGATAGCCCTCATGGTTTCAATCTCAGCCTGCAGGCTAAGGACAAGAACAAACCACCACTTCTTTCTCCAGTTGTAGTTGTTCAAATACTGCCTTCAAAATACATTTCTGCCAGATTTGAAAAAGATACATATCAAGTGCAGCTCAGTGAATTTGCACCTCCCGGAAGTCACGTTGCTTTGGTTCAAATGATTCCGGCTCTCACAAATCTAAAATACATTCTGAAACCTAGTTCCGACAGCACACGCTTTAAAATCAATGCACAAACTGGTCTGATAACTACAGACAAGTGGATGGATTTCCAGGAACAGTCCCACTTTGAACTGGAAGTTGTGAGCAGTTACAGCCAGCTCTCTGTCAGAGTCATTGTTGACATCGTGGACTGCAACAACCATGCTCCAAGGTTTACCCAGCCTCTGTACCAGGGCAGCGTCGATGAAAATCTGCCTCCTGGCACCAGTATCCTCTCCATAAGGGCTACAGACAGTGACTCCGGGGAGAACGGGCTCATCACCTATACCATAGCCAACCAGAGAGCCGCTCCGTTTGTCATCGATCCGTTTTCAGGCGTCATCTCCACCTCCAAGCTAATGGATTATGAGTTAATGCAGAGGCGGTACCACCTGCGTGTGTGGGCATCAGATTCGGGGTCTCCTTTTCGCCATCAGACGGACGTTGATGTGTCCCTCACACTGAGCAACCTAAATGATAACATTCCCATGTTTGAGAAGATTAACTGCAATGGGACTGTGCCATGGGACTTGCCCGTGGGGCACTCTGTGGTCACAGTGTCGGCCATTGATGTAGATGAGCTGCAGCATGTAAAGTATGAAATCATAGCTGGCAATGAAAGGCAGCTCTTTGAATTGGATTCTGTATCTGGGGTGATTTCTGTTAGAGCTCCTCTCCGAGATCTCTACGCTGGACTACCAACCTTCTACACTCTCAAAATTACTGCTACGGATGGAGACAACTATGCTTTCCCAACATGTGTAAACATCACTGTCGTCAACCAAGATACTCCAGTGTCCTTTCAGTGTGAAGAAACTGGGGTGCTGAATGAGGTGAAGAGGACAATGAGCCACTCCACTGGCTTCCAGTCTACAGAGCAAAACCCAGATGAAGAGTCCTCCTTGAATGTCTATCTTATAAACCGCCATGCACCACAGTTTGATGACTCCTTCCCACGATCGGTTGATGTTGTGGAGACAGTACCAGTCAACTCAAGCATTGCTCAGCTAACAGCAGTGGACCGTGATACTGGCTTCAATGGAAAGATGGTCTATGTAATATCTTCTGGAAATGAGGACAGCTGCTTTTATATTGACACAGAAACAGGTCTCCTTCTAGTATCCTCTCCTTTAGACTATGAAAGAACAACTTTCTATGTACTGAACGTCACAGTATATGACCTTGGCAATCCTCAGCTGTCATCCTGGAAGCTACTCGCAGTAAACATTCTGGATTCAAATGATAATGCACCTACATTTTTGCAAAGCACCTACTTGGTTACTATACCAGAGGATGTAAAAATAGGCACAACAGTCACTGCAGTACAAGCAAATGATGCTGATACAGATGACAATGGGAGAGTGAAATACTCCTTTCTAGCAGCCACTGATAAATTTGCCATCAACAGTATCACTGGAGAAGTAGTAGTGACTGCTTCACTGGACAGAGAATTATGGCCTCACCATGTCCTGAAAATTGAGGCCAGAGACCAACCACAAACAGGCCACGAGCTCTTTGCAATTGCTGATCTGGTTATTTCCTTGGAAGATGTAAATGACAACTCTCCACGTTGCATCCCAGCCTTGAGCAAGCTGAAGGTTCCTGAGGATCTGCCCCTTGGGACGACTCTGCTGTTCCTGGAAGCCTTTGATCCAGATATCAGCTCTGGGGGAGAGCTGAAGTACAGTCTCTTCAGTGATGATGAGAATATGTTTCATCTGAATGAGCTCACGGGAGCGTTGGTCTTGGAAAAGGAACTAGACTACGAGCAGAGGGACTTTTACAATCTGTCTGTGGAGATCAGTGATGGTGGGAAGCCCCGTTCTCTCTCTTCCCTCTGCCATGTTGAGATTGAGGTTTTGGATGTCAATGAAAACTTGCATCCTCCTCGCTTTGATTCATTTGTGTATGAAGGGTCAGTGAAAGAGAACAGCCAAGAGGGAACAGCTGTGATGAGAGTGATAGCTCAAGATGGCGATAAAGGGAAGGATGGTGAAATCCAGTACTTCATCCGAGAGGGAACAGATCTGGGTATCTTCAGTCTTCAAAAGGACACAGGTAATAATGGGGCACCGAGGAAGAGTGGGTCAAATAAAACTAATGGTGTGATCTAAAATGTTGATTTCTCAGTATTTCTCCCCTGTATATTTGTGTTTTATAGGCTACTGAAAAGTTTAACTTACAGAATGAATCTTGCTTCTTTGCAACAAATTAGTTGAGAACAAGCATTGCATGAATGCATGTGTCTCTATAAATTAACAACCATAGGTGCTCAAAATTTGGACTACTAGACACTCACCAAGAGAGGCATATGATTCTCATATGCTCCTAATTTAGATAGGATATTTTCTGCTTAAGAAGCATGGAAAGAATTCATTTATCTACAGCCTTAGAGAGACAATTTAAAGTGCAATATTTTATTGTTTTAATTGAGCTGTAATCATATGCATACTTATGTAGTAATAAACAAAGTGGTACATTTCTGAGTAAACATGCATAGAATTGTTCTGCACCTCACTTATGAAGGTTGTGGGTTTTAAAAAGTATTTTTTCCATGCAACACAGATAGATGGAATTTATTTTTTGAAAGTTCCTTTTGTATACCCAGGATGACAACACCTTGGTTGGATCCACAGTTGTTAGAACAAAGGCCCCAAGTGCAAATTATATTTCTTACAACTGTGTGTGTGTGTGTGTGTGTGTTTGAGAGAGAGAGAGAGAGAGAGAGGATGCTCAAACAATGAAGACAAGGTAAAGCTTAACAGTATATTTTCACTGGTTACAGTCACTAGAATCTAGTGAAGTCCTTCTACCTCTGTCATTGGAACCAGAAGGGTTCCTTCTGCAACCCCTGCATTATGCCCTTAAAATCTGCTTCAGAGAATTTGGGGACCCCCTGGGGACACTTTTGGAGCATGGGGCCATAGGATGCAAAGACAAAGGAGAGCATTCTGTCCAGTCCTTGCACAATGCAGGATTCCATCCTTTATCTTTAAAGTAAACACTGGCACCCTTTTAGTTTAATTTTTAAAAAGGGGATTATGCTTTACATGTAGTTTTTTTCTGGCAACATAATACATAGACTCTTTTTTGTTTCTCTTAGGTATAATCTTTATCACAGGGCCACTTGACAGAGAATCCAGGTCTCATTACTGGCTGACAGTGCTGGCTGTTGATCAAGGATCAGTCCCTCTGTCTTCCGTAGTTGAAATTTACATTGAAGTCACTGACGTAAATGACAATCCGCCCCAGATGTCCCATCCTGTCTATTATTCCTCTGTCATGGAGAATTCACCAGCCAATACCTCCATCCTTCAGGTTGAGGCCACTGATCCAGATTCTGGTTCCCAAGGGAAGCTGACTTTCCATATCATCAATGGAAACCATCTAGGATTGTTTGCCATTAATCCTATCACTGGTAAGGATCCCGTGCTTGCTTTTAAAACCCTCCTTGTGCATATGAGGTGACTCCTGGAATACAGTCTGGTCCATATTGTCCACTGTGTCCAAAGCCTGAATTTCAAATTGTAATTCTTGCTTGTAAAAAATAATTGCAGCTATACCAAAAACCACAAGAAGAAGAGTTTAAATAGCCTAGAGGGAATGAATACTCCTTATTTTGGCTTCTCAGGTCTAAGCAGTTGAAAGATGGAAGAACAAGAGGAAATTAGACTGTTGATATGAATCCTTTAGTGCTGTGCCAGCACAGTTTCCATTAAGAGGAGTAGGTTGTGACCTGGTATGGATTTTAGACTGTTGAGAACTTGTGAATGTAAATACAGTGAGTGGTGCTTGCCTGGATCATGTGTCTGTGGAACCCGGGTGTTAAATATTCTGACTATGGTGGTAAGTCCCGTTGAACACAGAGGCTGGGTTTGGACAGCACGGCTTCTAACCATCCCTGTGAGCCTCCTGGAACTTGTTCCAGCCACTGGATCACATCCGTGCCTCTTCACATAGAAGATTTGCCATCAAAAAGCGTGTCTTGGGACATTCAGAGCAATTTAAAAAACTGTAGTTGTTACAGTATGAGCTGAAAGGGCACTGTAGAAGCTTGAGCTCCTAATTCATATTCAGTCCAAGTAGCTATCTGTGCTATTTAAATTCCCCTTGCTTCTCAGTTTCTATAAGTCTGAGGTTTATTTATTGCTTCCCTTGTTTTTGTCAGTGTTAGCAAAGAAGGTATCAACTTAGCCTTTTTCTGTCTTTTGTGTCCATTATGTCTGTGTCATCGCTAGCTTAGGTAACAGATCCTTCCAGATTTTTTTAATCTTCCTGGTGTTTAATGTAAACTGTCTCTCGGTGTTAGTAGACTGGTACTGGGCCCATCTTAAAGCAGAGAGTCCTACTCTGAGGTTGTAATCCTGCACATGCCGATGTCTCATTTAACACAGTCTCTGAGTTCACCCAATATGATACCCATGCTCAGGTGCTGAGGGTGGGTTGAGTGGGAGCTGTCATTGAAACATGGGTTAATGTGTGGTCTGAAGCCAGCCACACTAATGAACAGTGGTTTATGAATCACAAACAACCCACAATTTGCAGCCCAGCAGCAAATCATGAGTTCTCTTAATGACTTGCTATCAGTTATCAGCTCAGCCTGTGCAACTTACTTCTTTGTAGACATGTGCACGATCCCACTTCAAGTGGTACAGTAGAATAGGAAGTGCTGTGCTTCATGCAGTGTGAATTTAGACTGTAATCTTATATACGCCTACCTGTCCCATCGATCTCCAGAGAGCTCACTTCCCAGGAGACATGAATAAGATTGCACTGTAATTAACTAACTGTTGGGCTGCAATAGGTGCGTATTAGGGACACAGCTCAGGTATATTGGTACTAGTTTTGAATTTTTGGGTCTAGCTGACACAGGAGGGGTGTGAATGCACCTTGCTGACTTCAGAAGGTGAAATGTGCTTCAGTGTTGATCCTTTTACAGCAACTAAATAAAGGCATAGATATTCCGGCGCAAACTATACTACCACTGGTGATCAGTGCTCAGCGTAACTGGGGACATGCCATATAGAGTGCCCCTGATGGCATTTAAATTATTGCTTATAATGTGCTCTTCCTTCCTGATGGAAACTGAAAGAGATTCTCTCTCTCTCTGTCTCTCTCTCTCTCTCTCTCTCTCTCTCTCTCTCTCTCTGTCTCTCTCTCTCTCTCTCTCTCACACACACACACACACACACACACACACACACACACACACACAGTGCATCCCCGCTAAGAAAAGGGGTGGGCAGTGTGGCCCTCATGCCAGCCAAGGATGGCAGTTTGGGTTTCGGGGGCCAGCTGGGCTAGCCTCCCTTATATGAGACACTGGCAACTGAAGAGGAGGGGCTTCCTTCCTCAATCAGTGTTATGGCTATAGGGTTTCTGGGATGCCAGAGCTGGGATATCCCATCCGGTTACACACATCCTTGAAAACGCTCAGCTGTTTTCCCTAAAGAAGTGTGCCAGGCTTGTGAAACAGGCAGCCCACATAGCTGAATGAATCATGTGTGAATCGGTAACGTTACAGTTACATAGTGATGCAACTACCTGCCACTGTCAATGGAATGTGAGAAGATGGCACAGCTGTGTTTTTAACAGAATGATCTTTCACTGGGGAAAGTTCCCCAACCTGCAGTGGGAAAATATGCTCCCAAATTTCACAAGGAGTATTTATGGGCCCAAGAACCCACTGGGGCACATGTTTAAGGAAGGATACACATAAACGGAGCTTCCCTCGTAGATCTTACTGTTGCTGAGCAGGCCAGCCGCTTAAAGGAAAGGAAGAGAGACCTGGGGCATTAGCTGTGGGCACTGGAGCAGTGCAAAATACCAAGGCAACTGTAACTGAGCACCCCTCTGTATATCATGGCAGCTTGCAAGCCTCAAAAGAATGTATCCCAGAATAGGACCAGGGTCCTCCTGGGGCCTATTTTGAAGTAAACAGCTACAAGTTTTCTATCACGTGATAGACTAAGGGATCAATGGAAAACAGGTTTAAAGAGGGCCTGGTATGTTGTTTGTAACATTTGCTGCTCTAAACCTTATAAAAATTAGTAAAGGTTTAACAATTTATTCACGGACCCTGCTCTCAGTAAAAATGCCAGGTTTAGATTTCTGGGCATGTACAGAATGCCTTTCTTTCATCAAGTAACCGCAACCTGTCCCCTGTAGTAGATTCTATCCAGATCAGTCTAATTTGACCCATTCATTTCACCCTAACATTGGAGACAATGCAATTTAGGCTTAAGTAGTAAGGTTTCCAGGGCAGATGGCTAGACTTCCAGGCAATTTTTTGGCCCAAAGCTTTTCTTCCCTCAAGATAAACAGTTTTCTGGGTTTATTTTTAACCATCCTCCTTGGATCCCTTTGCTTGGTTGATATGACAGTGGAAAACACTAAAGATGTATTAATGCTGGGAAGTCCCACTCAACGGACTTCCTGCCTGCTTCTGATTCAAGGATTGGGAGTGGGCTGAATTGGGTTATTTTTCAGCAAACTCTCATCTTTAAGGCACATTAAAAAAAGCACTAAGGAAATGCTACGTAGTTTGATACTGGCAAATGTCAGTTAATATTTGAATTAGAAGATTTGTAACAAGATTAATCAATTCAGTGGAGAATATTAGATGATACTGAACTAAAGGGTTTTGTTGCTGCAGAAGGATTTGATATTCTAACCTTTACTCCTGCAGCAAGTTCCTACATGCTTGGGTTGTTCCAAATCTAAATCCACTGTCTTTTATTACCAAATCTTACATTTGTGGATTTAAATCTTTGAATTAGGAATTAAAGACACAAACCTAAGAGATGCTTCTATAGGAGCCACCGTAGCTCAGATCGTCAGCCTACTAATAATATTCTCTCTCCATGTGGGATATACTTCTGTGTACGGATACGAAGGTTAAGGTTTTGAAATAGAAACAGAGCAAGTCAGAATGGGCCTTCTGGGCCATCTTGTCTGACCCCTGACTCCACTCATGTATCCCCAGCATGTGGTTGTCCAATCTTTCCTTGAATTCCCTCACTGATGGGGCCTCAACCACCTCCCGAGGAAGCCCATTCCATGCCCTCGGGGTCCTAACTGTCAGGAAGTACTTCCTGGCATCCAAACTGAACCTTGGTTCCCTGAGCTTTGCTCCGTTGGAGCGCATCCTGCCCTCCTCTGCAGGGGAGAACAGGTCTCTACCCACCTCCGTGTGACACCTCCTCACATACTTGTATGTCACCAGCAGATCCCCTCGAAGTCTCCTCTTCTCCTGGTTGAAAAGACTCAGTTCCCTCAATCTCTCCTCATATGCTATCCCTTCCAACTTGGCTACCAGTCTTGCGACCCTGTGCTGAACTGATTCTAACCTAGCTATGTCTCTCCTATAATGCGGAGCCCAGAACTGGATGCAGTGCTCCAGTTGTGGGCACACTAGACCATGTAGAGTGGTATGAACACCTCCCTAATCAGGAAGCCATGCTTCTGGTTATGCATCCAAGGGTGGCATTTGCCTTCTTAACCACCATGTCACACTGCTGGCTCATGTTCAGCCTCTGTGGACAAGTATACTGTTAAAGAAACATAGTTTCATAGTTAAATGCTTTTAGCAAAAGTTTGTGCTATTTATACAACCTCAAGAAAAGCTACAAGTTCTTATGAAAAGAGATGTAACTTTTTAATATCATCACAGTGACCCAGATTGCACATTAACTGGATCACTAAGACTAACCCATATTTTATTTAATCAATGGGTTCTTGAATTCTGGGATGTTGTGATAATCAGATGCAGCTCCACTAACAAACCATGGTTTGTTAATGACAAACAACCCAGAAAAGAACTTGTGATTTGTTGTTGGATTGTAAATTCTGGGTTGTTTGATCCATGGGTTGTTCATGAGTTGTTTTATCAGACTACAGCAGCTGCTTTGAAAAAGGAAAACTCCATATTAGGCATAATTGGGAAAGGAATTAAAAATAAAACTGCTAAGATCACACTCCCCTTATAAAAATCTGTTGTGCAACCACACTTAGACTATTGTGCACAGTTCTAATCAGCACACTTGGAATTCTACATTGTAGAGTTGGGAACAGTGCAGAGACGTGCAGCTGGAATGGTAGAGGGGTTGCAGCAACTCCCCTAGGAGGAAAGTTCACAACAGCTAACATTGTTTGGCTTAGAAAAACAGAGCGCAAGGCAACACATGACAGATCTGTTCAAAATTATGCATAGTGCATTGAAAGTGCAGAGGGAGACCTGTCTGTCCTCTTTCATAATACTAGGACCCAGTGGGGTCATTCCACACAGCTGCTGGGTGGGAGATCCAGAACACATAAGAGGAAGTCCTACTTCACTCAACGCATAGTTAAACTATGGAATTCAGTTTCACTATTTATTTATTTATTTATTTATTTATTTATTTACTTATTTATAACATT